AAATTTCTAACAATAGTAAAATAATCCTATAAACGTGCATGAAATTACATACTTAATGAATTTATTAATCACGCAAATTTCACACTGGTTTTGTCAGACCATGGCAATTGCAATAACATGTCATTGGCAAATTGCAATTCTCTACATTGGCTCTTGCAACAATTGTATACATGGCACTCCAACGATTTGAAGTCAATGTCAGAATTATTTGATGGATATAAAACATCTCAGTGGTCTATTTGCCAACTTCGATATATAGAAAAAATCAGTTTATTTTTCTCTCTTTCTCTTTGTTTTGTTTTATTTGTGTGTGTGTTTTCACAACTGGGGAAAAGTAAGTTGAAAGTGGAAGGCCCAATGTTTTTAACAATCCACGTTTTTGCTCCGTTCATTAGAAGTCACTCCAATAATGGTTATTTCCTATTATCAAAAAGAAAACTTTAGCACTCCCAACATCAAAGCTGCACTAAAGATGATAAACTCCACCCGCCAACCAGGATGACTTCAACAAGCTAAAGGAGAGAAGTACAGAAAAGAATAGAGGGGACAAGGGGGAAGACTCCAACAATAAACAAAAACAGGAGACAGAAAGAAACATTCTTAAGAATTTCTTCCAAGGCTTGTCCTAGTTTTCTGCCATAGTCCAGAATTTCTATGTAGCCTTCTAGATCATTTGCTGAACCTGTTGCGCCACTACAGAACCAAAACTCCGACATGTTTTGACTCAGTTACCCTTCCATTTTTCTTATAAAGGCTCTAAATTAATCTGGCAGTAGTAGTATACAGCCTTTCACCTGCTCTGACTTCAAGAAAATATAGTGAATGAGAAAAATTAACCTAGTTTTCAACATAAAAAAGTGGAGTTACATTTCAGTACTTTTAACCCTTCCTTTTCTCCAGTGTAGTACTTGAAATTAATAAGATTCATGTACACAAAGATACACATACATAATGGTGGAACTTGTGTTCTGACACATCTCCCCCTAGTAAAATCAAAGGACATTCATCCCCTTCAATCTTTTGGACATTGATCAATATATTGATATAAAAAATAAATTCTATAACAAGTTACAAGTCACTATCCACTGGTTGTATAACTCATTTTCTTACTCCAAGCAATGCATGGTAAAACATGTCCAGTTTAAAAATGATTGACAAGTTTTATATTGGACAATATTCATAGTTCACATACGATATTGTAATTGCATTAACAGTAAATGAATGCATTCCTCATACCTGCCCATTTGCTTGTTGATCCAATTTAGCAATCGATCAGCTGTGCGTCCATTATCGATTGCATGTATATCACTTTTCTTTTGATTAGGTTCCCAACTACCACCAACAAATTTAGAAGGAGGGCCCAAAAGAGCATAGGATAATGACTAACAGAAAACTTATCACAGAGATTTGTATTTATCTGTGCTGCCAAACAAGTGAAAATAGGAAGGACTGATCACCAAGGCTTGTTTATTTATGAAACTAACCTATTTCAAAGTTAATGACTACAACTGAAGCAGAAGCAACATGTTAACACTCAAGCATGTATTACAGCAGTTGTTGTAAATAATAATTAATCAAGCACAAGTAAGAAATTTAAATAAGGAAACACAATGAACGAGACAGCGAAACACTTCATAACAAATGCATTTCCATAAAAAATTAGAGTAAGCTATTCACAATACCCTTCTATTTTGTCTCATCACAGAGATCTTCCTCTATTTGAGAATATAGACTTTAGTCCAATTTATTAAATCGTCAAGAATATTATACAAGATTCTAAAAATTTTTTAATTAAAAATTATATTGAAACAAGTTTTATTCAATAATTTACCCTCACTATACTAAATCCCTAATTAATCTAAATCTATCATCAATTTCACAGTTCCCAGTGAAACTTGCAACAGAGGAAGAAAAGGCATGACAACTACAGCAAAAGCAACAACGAAACCAAGCAAAGAGGTGATCTGAAGGGAGGACAATGCATCTACAAACAGAGACAAGTTTCGTGCAACTACTTTCCACCCTTTTCCATACACATGGCTACAGACTAATTCATGCACTCCTTTTAATTCTATTTGATCCTCATATAATATAACTTACCTTCCATCTTTTCAATATCAATATATCCTCTGATTGGAGAAAAATCACTGCATAGTACTTCATGATTTATTCGTATAGTTGAAGACAAGTGTAGGCTAAGGGAATTAGTGGACAATAGTCATTTGACCCAAAAGCATGTTTAACAATTGTCTTGAGTGTTCATATGAGAAATTGGAGCGCCTCCATCATTGCTATCTGGTTTTAAAATGAACAAAGTAATCACACTTTTTGCCTGATCGGACTAGACTAGTTGTGTGGCTAGATTTTCATAATCTGGCAAAAAATTGAAAAATACAAATGATTCAAAAATATTTTAAAGGATTGCTAAATAAATGTATCTAAAGATATTAAAGTTATAAAATTAATCAACTTTATAACATGATCAAAATTCAGTTTTAGAATATAATAAAAAAGTTTAATCATGTGGTTGAATGGTTAACTAACAATTGGATAGATGTAAATGGAATATTAAAAATAGAGAGGAGGTCTATGTAACATAAGTTTTAATTTTGGGGGAGGTCTATGTAAATTTTCAAAATAGAAGGGAGGTTTCCATAATTAAGGTAAGATGGGAGGAGAACAATGTCAAAGGAGAAGGAGAAGAAGATACTTTGATTTTAAACTACCTTGTTATTTTCAATAACAATGTCATGGATCAATTCATTACAAAAACAGCTACGTGAAGGACCATGTGTATTTTTTTTTTTAAGGTGAGGCCACTAGTAGTTAACGAGCTCATTTGTTTAAGATTAAAAATAATTAATGTTTATACAGTTTAGAGATTTATAAAAAAATGATTTACTTAACAGAGATATTGAAAAAATCAGAAATTATTTGATGTTTGGTTAAAATCATAAGAATCACTTTTTTCTATAGGATTCATCCTCAACACATTTTCAAAAATATTCCTTTTTTTTTATCATTGCATTTTGCCTTATATTACACAAGGAGAAATGTCAAAGACAAAAGGCAGGCTGTGGCAATCAGCCTCCCCGTCCATCTCTAGTAGGTGCTTCCTTCCAACGACTCATCCATTCTGTGAGGATACTTCCTATGGTAGAACGAAAAGTAAGGTAGAATTGGATTAGGAGGTGGTGGGTCATATCGAAACCATTGTTAAAGTCCTCACTATAGGGAGGTGGAGGAAATAAACAAATTGAGATGTTTAACATTTATCGCCAAGATCACGCAAAATAAAGCATAGTGGGAGATTGGAGGAGACTGAAATATGAACACCGAGAAAAAGAAGACATTGTGGAGTGAGAGACTGATGATTTAGTCCTTCTGTGAAAATAGCCGTGTCCGTCACAGTTTTCTCTCTCTTCTAGCATACTGCTTTTTTTCAAAAAGCGACTCTTGTTAGCTTGTTCAAATAATCTGATATCTGATTATTTTCAGATTCTGATTATTTTTACAATTTTAAACAACCACCAAAAACTTTGCTATGAGTGATTATTTTTTTTAAAAAAAGTGCTTTTTAGGCCCAACATCTATAAACCTCTTCACATGAAGGCATCTAAGTTTAAATCCGGAAAAAGATCAGGTTCACTATTCTTTGCAATGAAAATTTAATTAAGATAGGGAGCAGTAAGAATCAAACTCTTGACCACTTGGTTATAGAGGTTCCAATACTTTGTCAAATATATTAAGCTATGAAAGGAGGGCCAAAATAGTTTTATTACAATCTCTAACAAGTGAGAGGACAAAGAATGCATCTTAAAAGGGACAAAAAAATAAAACTGACTTTCTACAAGAAACTATAAAATTAAGAGATACTAATGTACACCAAAGAGTGGCAAGGTTGCTTCATGGGGTGGGTCCAAAGAGTACTCAGAATGCTGAGATCTCATAGGTTGAAATTATTTTTTCAGCTGAAATCTTAAGGTTTAATTTGTCCATGTGGTAATATAAATGTGTCTTGTGATAAGATTTTCAAAATATATCAATGTCTCTCCTAATGAAACACAGAAAAAGGAATCTTTCACACAACTTGTGAACTGTTAAATAGTAGTGGGGAGAATACGTTAAGCTTCCTATACATAGAGTAGAGTAGAGAACATGTACGGTCAGAAATAAACTGCATCCTACAACATAGCTTGGCCCCAAGTAACATTCAATTCTACCATGATAATTGGCTTTATTTTGCTTCTGACACTGAATTTCCTCATAAAAAAAAGTCATGTAGAATGAGAACAACAAATCACAGAAAAATCTTCTAACCCCCCAAGTTATTCTAAATCAAACCAACTTCAAAACATAAATCCCAACATAAAAAATATGACTATGGAGGACTTAAACAACCCAAATCATTTTAAGACAAGCAACCCAAGCACAAGACTGACAAAAATAAAACAGGATAGCTAATCCCACTAGAAGTAATATATCACAGGGCCCAAAGAACTGAATGGGATAATCCCAAATAACTAATCAGTAAAACTCCCAAATGATGGCAAGAAAGTAACTCGTACAATTTGAATAAACATTAAAACACAATTGAAACAAAGTAATAGAAGATGCACTTACCTTCACTGCACAATCTACCCTTGTCATTAATATGATCCCTGGATGTGCAGCATTAGGTCCATTAAAAAGCCGTGCAACCTTTTCATAGTGCGGCTGTAATAGAAATTGAAAATGAGAATAACAATAGTTCCAAATTATTAATTAAATAACCCTCAAATTTTAAACTATATTTTGGTAAATAGTACCTTATAATCCTGCAAGCAGGACACCTGACAGAAAAATAAGGACATATGGAAAATTAGAATCTATCGATACCCATATTTCATGGTTGTTAATCTAACAACATGCAGAAAGAACTTGTAGCAAAATCTCCTATGAAGGAATTTAAAAATTAGGGAAAATTAATTATTTGGTCATTGTAGTTTTCACTTTATTATAACTCAATCCCTAAACTATAATTTGTTATAATTCAATTCCTAAAATTTGCCTCTTATAGATCAATCTTTATAGTTTTAACCATTTAAATATTGGTCATTTATTTTAAAAAATAAAATTATAAAGATTAAAAATATTTTAAACTGTTAATATGTATAATATTTATATAGATTGAAAAGGTTTAGTAATTTAAAATATTAGTCATAACTTTTAACATAATTTTAATCTTATATTTTTATTTTTTAAGATATAAGAACCAATATTTAAATGATTAAAGATATAAGAACTGAGTTACAAGAGTCAAAATTTAAAAACTGAGTTATAACTGAGTCAAAACTACAAGGACCAAATGAATAATTTTCCCTAAAAACTAAGTTGAACTGGATGATAAAAGAGCTAATTTTTTGTTTTCAGATTTTTGTTCCTAAGCTACTATCTTAATTCTTAACTGCATAGAGAGATCCTTGGAGCAAAGGCCAATACCATGTTTAACAAAAATATACACGAAGAAGCAATATTTTATCAAGAAAAACCCAAAGAATAAAGTGGAACAGTGGGAAAACAACTTGGTAGGTTTGACTGAATTGAGTATCTCTATGAGTAAATGAACAGCTTGATAACTAAGACAAGGATGAAAACAACCAAGCACGTTGTTGACTAATAAGATGTTTGTTGATAAAATTGTAGCTAAAATAATGAGTTATGCTGCCTGTAGAAAGCTAATAAATTCACGCTAATGCATTATTTATGTATGATACAGATTTGAATTAATCACAAAGAAATTAATTTCATGCCCATAGTTTTTTGTTAAATTGAATAGTTAATCTTCTTGCCCATGATTTTTAATAGAATTGCCCATATATTAATTTCTATTAAATATATATATTGATCCACAGGAATTATCTCTTCTACTTAATGCCAAGAGACTTGGCATTTTATGAACTGAGATCTTGCCCTGGAATACCATAGCAATAAACATCCAGCTAGATGGCTAAATTGTAATATGAGTACATTAACCACACAGTTCTTGCAACTGTAGGCAAATAAGACAGGATATCATATTTGTAAAGAGCATGGAAACAAGGTCCTAACATAAATAGACAAAATTAGGATACCAAGAGGCTAGGAATAACAACAGCTTATAAACCATATAAATATCTCAATCAAAAATGGAAATTAGAATATTAATTGATAAGTTAATTGGTATATCAAAGTATAAATAATACTTAACAAGGGGAGAAAAAAGTGAAGGAGGGAGAGGAAACGAGGGCCAAAGCAAATGAAAGATCAATAAGAATTGTTTTTTTCTTTTGGGGGGGGGGGGGTAGTTGACAATAATTTCACTTGCAAACATATCTAGAGTGTAGATGATGTATTCCAACGGCAGCTCAAAAGCATGTTGAAAGAACACAAAGTACTCCAGTAAATAAAAGTATAAACACATTTAACTGAGTGTTTGATGGATGTTTTGAATAACCATGCTTAGTCAAAGATGTTGTACTTGGCAATTATGCTATCATAAGCAACGACTGCAAATTATACTACAACTCAAGCCCTGCTTACTTAACAAATATGTATGGGTGGACAATATGAAGTGGATGGAATAAAGATAGTCAGTTTGAAGTCAAGGCTAGTCTTCTGCTAGATTTTCCCCCATTTTCAACTTTACTGTTCAGTTTAGTTTTCATGCATCTTCAATCAACTTTTAACATCAACATACTAGTTAAACTAGAGGTAATCTCTCACTGCTTTACCAAACAACCCAGTCAAATTTTCCAAAAACATTGTAATTCTTTTTCTGCCTTACAATAAACTCTAAATGCTTCCAGATTCCAGTTAACTGTCATGTGAATTCGTTTCTCTCACTACTTTATAAGCAGATCTACTTTCTGGTCAAAGGGTCATGCAATTTTTTATTCGGGCCCGGTCTTTTAAGAAATATGAAATTAAAACTTAAAAAACAGGTTCAAGACCAATAGAGATTTCAATCAACTCATCAAAACAAGGATATATACATACTGCATAGGAATGATCACTAACCAATGAGCAAAGAATTCAACAATAGCAAAAGTAGCAGGAGTATCCTTCAGAACAGCATCAAAATTCGTCGCATTCAAGTCAACGGCATAATCTCGAAGATCTCCATTATTAACATTGTTTTTGACTGCTCTAAGGATCGAACGACGTGACCCCAGTGAAGAATCTGAAGTCACCACGCAGCTGATAGAAAGTAGGCTCAGAACAACAAGACCCAAATAGAAATACACCCCAGACATGGAAAATGGGAAGATAACAGAGCCAGAAGGAAAGGGAGAGAAAAAAAAAAAAAAAGCTATAACTTCAGATTATCTGCCCAATGGTTCGGCGGTTTATAGGCAAATATCGAAGAAAGATGATGATTTTGAAGTGAGGGTGGAAAGAGATGGATCTGCGAACAGTTCCTTTCTGTTGACTTCCACACCAAACAGGCTTTGAAGTTCTTGGAACTTTATAGATTGGAGGGTTTTGAAGATGGTGGTCACTGGTAATCGATTCCGACTTACGTTACCTTCTTTGGAGTTGGCCCGACTAGGAGATACACCAAACCACTTGAAAATTAAAAAATCTTCCGTTTCCGACGTTTTAATTTGCGTTTCTTCCATGATCCTTCTGTCTTTCTTGTTCTAATTTTTACGGCAAGGGGCAAGAAACAGAGAAGAAATCCCCCCAAATATGAGAAAGAACACCAAAAATTATAGGTAATTTTTTTTTAGAAAAATAAATGAATTAACTTTTTAGTCTCTTGCAGGCCAAAATTAACTTCCTAGTCTTTTGGAGTTTCAAGGGTTAAAATGTATTCCTTGTGTTAAAATATTCTTCCTCAATTTAAAAATATAAAATATTTTTTAAAAAATTAAATATTTAAAAATATAAAATATTTTTAATTTTTTGAGGTGTAATCATTGTCTTTTTAAAAAAAAATGCCCGTGACTTTATATTTATAGGGTACTTAATAAGGATAAATATAAAAAAATAAGATTAATTTGAAAGAAAGTAATCACTTTATTAAGGGGTGAAATTTGATTAAAAATATCTTACATTTTTAAACAGAGGAAGTATAAACTATTTTTAATCAAATCTTATTCTAAAAAGTATATGATTATTTTCAAACTAATGTCATCTTTTATATTTATTTTTATTTAATAAAGTGTTCATTTTAAAATAAATAAAAGTAATTCTTTTTATTATGGACACTTTTTGAATAAAACACATTAATTATATCTTAAAATTTAAAAAAATTATTTTTTAACATTTAACTTTTTAAAAAAATATCTTACATTTTTACAAGGGAGTATGAGAAATTAAATTTATTTACCATCTCAATTTACTGGGAGCACTAGCATTTGGTATCAAACTATATATGGAATTTTTATAGAAAATGATGCGGCTTGTGAATCTTAAATGCTCCCTCCAGTATAATTTTCAAACTTCTAAAAGCAACCAATATTTTTTCCTAAAATGCTTCAAATAAATAAATAAAAAGACTTGACACATTTTGAAGGGAATTTTTTAAAAAATGATAAGTTTAAAATATAAATTATGTAAAACTATTTTATTGATATGTGTAACTTCAACAATTTTTGATTTATTAAAAGCAACGGTGAAAATAGTGTATTTCATTTCTTAAATTTTATTTAACATGTCAAACACAATTTTAATTTTTAATTTTATCTTTTAACTTTTTTGAGTAATTATCTTTCAGCTTAAATGAGTTGAGAAAAGTTTTTTGGTCTTTTTTTTCCGGCAAACAACTGATAATATTATTACATAATTAATATAAAGTACTACTTCATTTTTATTTGTAAGAAAAACTATTATTTTTTACTTTTTTTTATATAAGCAAAACCATATATTTTAATAAGTATTTATTATACATTTTCTAAATCACTTCTTATAATTTACATGAATGAGAAATAATTAATACATGCTTATATTAATGAACATATAGTATTTTAGTCCAATTTTTTTATATTCAGACATAATTATTATAGTTAATTAATTTTTTTAAACTATGTAATATAATTTTTTTATATATATAGAAACGGAGGAAATATCTTGTTATTAACATGGGAGTTCACAATGCTTATGGTCAAACATAATTGACAATATTTATTTTCAGTTTGATTTGAAATCAGATAAATGGTGTCAACTCTCTTATCATGTACCATGTATGGTTCTAACATGAATGACACTTTCCATAAGAAAGGCATAAACTCCAAAACCTCATCAAGAAATTGGAATATTTGGCCAAAAAAAATCAAGAAATTGGAATATAAATAAAATAAAATGCAAAATTATTTACCCATTCAATTAATGAGACAAATCATTCCAGTTAAACCTTCTGATCCTTATAATTATGAAGATACTATTTATTGAAGATCTAAGTGATGGAAATTTTTCTACCAAAGTAGCTTATAATTCTATTGAGAGAATGGATAACAATGCTTCATCATCCATATGGGCTGGGGGGAATCTAAAGTGGCCTATGTAAGAAAAAAAAAAAAAATGAAAAGCCTATCGAACTTGTTTACAAGTCAGCATTTCCAAAATTGACAACTTTGATATAGGCCAAAGGATGTTTCTTTTTTTAAAAAAAATTTCCACACTTGTTGGTCTATTTAGAAAGTTAGATGCAATAATAAACTCTGTTAAAATTATGTAACAAATGATTAAAACAAAAAGTTAAGCTACTTGTGGATGTCTCATTTGGGATTATAAAGGCAATTAGATCACAAGGTACATTAAAAAACTTGGTTACATGCCATGCACATCTATAGAGATGTCATGAGTCCCACATCAAAAAACTTTACAAGTAGAATAGGGTTTATAAATGTGAGTGGTTCTTTCATCTAATAAACTAGTCTTTTAATATAGACATTTTTTTTAGACTTGTGCTCATGATAGGAGATTTTGTTAATTCTTGAAGAATTAAAGCTTAGCTAAAACTTTGGTCACAGAAGAATCAATGTTTTCAATGATTTGTTAACTACAAATATTCATGAAATCACATGCTTATCAATTTGATTAGAGAATTTCAAAACCTTACAATATGTAATTGAATTATTACCTTCATCCTTATGCTCGTGGATGATAACAATTGTGCTAATTGACTTGCTATCTTGACGCATTATTTGGACATTGTTGCTAATACTTTTTAGGATTTGAATTTAGTAAGTAACTTAAGTACATTTATTCAATGAGTGTTTCATGTAATACGATAATAATATTTTGATTTAATTAAACATCTATTAAAGATTTTATCATATAATATTCAAAATATATGAAATCTCAAATTTTTTGGAGGATACATCATGAGTAAAGAGTGTTAACTAATTATATTGATTTTTTTGAATTTTTTAAAGGGAGTATATTTTTATAATTTTCAAATATTAATGCAATCTAATAATTGTAATTGAAATACTCATTGAGTAAGTATACCTATGAAACTCTCTGAATCCAAATCCTACTCTTCGTACTCTTTTTGAGGGACATAATTTAAGCTAATATCTCTAATAAATTACATGTTATTGCCTAATTTCTTCTCTTGTATGATTTAATGGTGGTCTTTAGACTACTCCCCGAAAAAAAAAAAATTAAACTTTGAAGCAAACCAAATGAAATTTCATAGGATAGGAGATTGAGTTTAAGAATTTTCATATTGATAATTTATCTTTTGTTAAGTACCGACATTATAAAAAAAATACATAAACATTAAAATTGATAAGAAAGTGTATTATTCCTAGACTATACATATAACTTAATATCAATTTTCATACAAATATATGCTGCGCATTCAAATTCAAGTAGTAGTTGTTAGATTTGAAATGTGAATAGTAATTCATTCTGATAAGATTATTGAAAATTATAATTAAAACCATCAATTAGAGCCAAGCTCATTGAGCTAGTCCTTTTAAGCCTAAAAAATATTAAGGCTGGGCTACTGTTTTAAATTATAAAATGACAATTCGGGCTTAAAAGGGTTAGCCCTTTTATAATTTTTATTTATATTTTAATATTAAAAAATTTAAATATTACACTAATTCAAAAACCCTAGCCTCATTTCATAAAAATGAAGAAGGAATATATAAAAAACTTAATATTTTTGCCATTGATGAGGCTTCAAAAGGAGAAAAATAAAATTATACTGATATTGATGATAATGAAATGATCAAGATTTAGCTGATGATATTAATAAAGTCTGATTGTTATTAATATTGATTTTATAGTGATGTTGTTTTTTATTAGACTTAAATTTGTTGGTGTATGTATTGATTTAAATTTATTTTTCTAAACATAATGTTATATTTAATAATTTTGTTAGGATTTTAAATATGTTTTTTTAGAAGTTTAAATTGAAAAAATGAAAAAAAATAAGACCAAGGCCTTGAAAGCCAAAGTCAGGCTAACCAAAATGAAATCCTAAAATATAATCGATCTTAACTGAGCTAATTTGTTTAGGCCTTGACTTGTTAAGGGCCAATCTTAATTGACAGCCCTAATTACAATTAATAAGACAATTTTTTTTTTTCAGGACAAGTTTATAATTTTAACCCAACAAAAGGTGGACAAGTTATGAATCACGAGTCACGTAAGGTGTAAACAAGTCTATTTCAAAATAAGTTGCTTATTACAGTGATAAATTAAAGTGTTCAAGTCAAGATGGCAGCACACGCATATCATTAAAAAGAAGGAGAATGTCAACTGAGTTTTAAAAAGGTTAATTAATTTAATTTAAATCTCAGACAATTTTAAAATATCAATAAAGTCTCATGTTTTTTTTTTTGACAAATCTGATTTATAAAAGAATTGACTTAAATTCCCTTAAGTTAAATAAATGACTAAAATTTTAAAAAATAAGTTATAAATTTATCCATTTGAAGTTGCAAGATTGAGAGTTATACTTGCAAATCCCTGAACTTGTTAGAATGATGACTTTTTTACTTTTCAACTTTAAACATTAATATTTATATTCCCTCTTAAAATTTAAAAAAAATTTAAAAATTTATTAATTCAAAATTACAAAATTGAAAACTAAACTTGCACATCTTTGGAGTAGTTAAAATAACGACTTTGTTAGTTTCAAACTTTAAACATTAATATATGTATTTTTTCTTAAAATTTAAAAAATAAGTTGTAAATTTATCAATTTGAAGTTGCAAAATTGAAAGCTAAACTTGCATTGTGTTCCTTGTTAAAGTTGAAAAAATGAGTCACAAATTTATTATAATAAAGTTGTAAAATTAAGATACAAAGTTGCATATCTTTTTATCTATTAGAATATTGTCACTTAAAGATCAAGAAACTTACTTGACATTTTGAAATTTCTTAAAACTTAGGAAAAATGATAATTAAGGACCCTCTAAGAATATTAATCTCAATTAAGAATTATAAAATTTTAAAATCTCAATTAAGAACTATGGTCTTTAATTTAGATAAAAAAATATAATTTGTCTCAAATGTCCTTGAGATTCACTAATGTGAGGTAGGATTTACTAATACTACTTGGGGATTCATTAACTCAATTTCAAAAAATTACTAATATATATTGTGAAAACATAAAACCCCACTTGAAAATTCACTAACTTGACTTTAAAAAAATTCTAACTATATTGTGAAAATATGAAACC